CAGTTGACAGGGGCTGGCAGGGCAAGACGCTGCAAAGCTGACTGAGGGTAGAATTGCATTCGGAGAGACGATCAGGAATCGCTCAGCATCCACACTTCAAACAGCTACGATGCAGTAGCTCAGACGAAGCTGTAAGCTGTCTGGAGGTGGCACTTAAGAGAATGGTCGACTTCTGAAAACTAATCCTGCAGAGCTCGGTGTCAGTGGAAGGCAAGCCCTACAGTGGTTATCGAGCCACCGGAAATCCAAAACCCCATTCATCCCGAAAGTTGCGAGCGTGCAACCCTGCATTCTTCGTGTTCTTCAAAACCGTCTGAGAGCGTTTTTCTAGCAGCGCCCTCTTGCGAGCGCCACGAAGGACGTTGAATTTGGGCCGGGCCGGGGAGTCGCACCGGGCTCCCTGCTAATAGCAACCTACGACTACTGCCCATGCTGCAAAAAAGGCTTTCTGAACCGAACCTGAAGAGGGGGAATTGCAGCAATACGAACGAATGTCGCTGTGGCCCCTTGCAGACAAAAAGCTGCGCATTTCTGCTTGTGAAAGAACCACAGGCTGCTGGTTGAGACTTCGCCCACACAGCACGTGGTCGCAAGCGGCTGAAAGTGCACCAAAAAGCTGTATACAGACACAACCAATGTGAAGAGCTATTCGCATCCAAAGTAGAAGCACATCAGTGATAATCAGGGTGTTCAGAACATCCGCCAACAAAGAAGTTTCCCGAAGCCGGCTGACAGCATCTCCGAGATATTAAGTATTCTTCGTCCGAGCAAAGCGCCGAGTGGACGCTGAACACCAAGCTATTCGGAAGTTCTGCAATACCTGGGATGGATGCCCTCTGTGGACGATTTTGAACAGGACATGGTGGTCTGCTGGTCTGGTGGGGTCGGATGAACGGACGTCGGGTGCCGCCATGGATGCTCGCGTCAGCATGCAAGCGGCTTTCCTCTTGTCTGCGGCAAAGCGGGCACACCTCTATGTGCCTTTCTGTCAACCACCACGCTGCTACTACGTGTTGACTGCAAGGCCACTGAGGCTTCCCTGAACTTCAAAGAAAAACTGCATCCACAAAGCATGGACTGCTACACGTGCCATGACCATAAACATGCAGAAAGTACCTTGGCCTGATTCGGCCCGTGATCCTAGAGATTGCTAGAGAGCACCTCGCTGTACACTGATGGACCCACACACTTCAGCCACTTGCAGACTCTGGCCAGGTCAGGTCTCTTTAGACGACGACCTCAGACAGATGCCGCTCCTGGCCAGGGACCCTCCAGTGCGACTGATCTTCACCTAGCATTCCCCCAAGCATCGCTCCTTGCCAGGCGGCTTCCCGAGCTTCTTCCTTAGAGGAAGAATGGAATCCCTGTTGCCTTGGGCTTGCTTCTCGTGGGAGCAACCACGCGGGATCCTGTCCCAACTTGTGAGGCCGCACGTGCCGACCCTGAAATTTCAAAGTGGATCCCGAAGCTGGTAAGGGTTCATGCATTGCGCACCAACGAGTGGCTCGGCATCCGCGAACAGTTCCTTCGCCGCTTTCGCCATCAGCTTCTCTTCCTGCAAGTTTGAGCTTGCGTCTTCGTCGAATATCTGCGCATCTGTCATAAATAAATGCATGCTTGTTGAATCACGGCGCCTTGCGATCAGTGTATTTCTGGATGCTGACGGCCTCCTTATCGTTGTCCCTGGCCGTCGATCGCTCATAGGCGTCAACCCGATTCTCAAACAGATGCTAGTGCAGCCAGGCACCACAGCAAGTTCTTGTGGATGTAGAGATATGCATTCTTTTCTCCGGTTTCCTTGTCCTCACGACAATCCCAAGCCACAACACTCAAACCACCTTTTCTTCCCAAGGCATGAAGTGTTCCTTCGCGAGAAAGCCGCCTACGGAGACTGAAGTGTGGTATGTGGCTGAGCCATCAGCTTCGAGTTTCGAATTGTTGAGCCCTTTCTATTGCCCCCGCTCTGCGCCCTCACCACGACCTGCCCTGCACAACAATCAGCAAGCGTGTCCGCGCAGTCAGCCAGGGATTCTTCCGCGGCCAGCTTCGTCATGCCGTCGATTTCCATCCTGTGCTAGCATGCTGGAGCTTTCTATGCCGAGCGCTTGAATCAGTGGAAATCTCGGAGGACATCACATGGCACATGCGATGGCTTTAGAGCCCAGGATCTTCTTCTCTGTGAAATGCATTCCTAAGAACTCAATTGTGTGCATCTTGAAGATCTTGCTCAGGTCACCCTTGTTCACCTGCTCAGACAGCATGCATCCTCAACAAGGGGACATCACCGAGACCCGGATCCGGGAATGCTTGCTAACTCTTCTCATCGTGAGTGTCCGAGTTGTGCAGCAGTCTTCACGAAGTTACATCAGGATGAATGAAACCACAATCTCAAACGCCAGAGCGCAGCCCCTCGCCTCGTGCATGCGCTTGTAGCAGTCGTCTGGCTTCCCCTCACCGATGAAAACGAGAGTGCCGAGGTTCCTCTGCAGGATCTGCAGAACGACACCATAGCTTGCAATCTTGCCCTGCGTCATGCCGACCACGTTTTCCTTGCAAATGGCCGCCGGCACGCAGTTTGCAGCGAGCTCGTTGATCGGAGCATCTTTGTTCTCGAAGACCATTACGTACTGGCAGTTTCTGTCACCGTTCTTTTTCATTTCGTGCTTTTTGACCACATGGCAGCCAGACTCGACTTCGAACTCTTTCTTCAAATCATCCGGTTTTCCGTAGAGCTCGTTCAGATTGATCTCGGTCGACATGCTGAGCGCCTCACCTGCATGCTGCACTGACCCGGGCGACAGTTGTCAAAGGGCAATCAGCCATAAATCACCCTTCACTGACACTGTCTCAAGCGTCATCACTCACAGTTTACGGAGCTAGTGGCAAAGGCCAGCAACTGCAGGAAGGGGGTTACTCGAAACAGAGTCGGCATGAATCCTGAATTTGCGGATGTGCAACAACACAGTTCTTGAATAACCATTCTTCAACTTGCAACTTCACATCACCACATGTCGAAGCCGCAACTCGCTCGAAGGACTAGGGTGTAGATGAGGCAGCTGAGACTATGAAAGCACCCCTCATATTGCTTCAGGCCCCAACACACTACCGCTGAAACCCATCCTCGAGACTCCATTGTGAAGGTACCGGGGTCTCAAATTCTCAAACCGATCCTAACCAAGCAGCCAATTGCTGCGTCGCAGCAACCGCCGATGAGCTGCAACTCGCCAAATCTCTCGTCTGACTCCCTGGGCTAGGCACCCATGCTGGAGGTTGCAAGACTGACATGAGGCCGCGGGATAGGGGGCTTGCAGCAGGACATTGATGGAGCCTTCAATCCCTCAGTGCGGGGCGGGCAGTTTCGGGCACTGCGTGACCGACAGCTCACAGCTTCAAGCATGGCCGCATATTCTATGTCGCCGCATACTTCTCAACACCCGAAGACTCGGGTCAGGCTATCATCGTGCCAAGACAAAAGTTGATGACCAGCGTACGCTCTTCATGGCTGCAATCAAAAGATGCGCACCACTCGCTTCCCGTCGGCGCAACACAAGAGCCCTACAACAGACAGTACTCTGACTCAGCCTGCCAAAGTTCAAGAATGACTACCACAGAAGGTGCGACTGATATCCTCCTGTCGTGCAGGTCAAGACTCTGCTGTTGCTCGACTTCCTCCTCCAAGAACAGCATTACTAGGTGTTACTCGCGCGCGCAGCGTTGATGCGGAACCACTCGGGCAACCAACCATGTGCACTACGGATGTGTTGATCGGAAATGGGACACTGAACAGCACTCACTCACAGTGCTCCTTCGGTACTACTGGAAACGAAGGCGTCGATCATGCAACAAAGAGTTATGCTGCCGAGAAAAAGAAATGGCGTCGCCTACGTAGTGCGAGAATTGGGTGCTGCGCCAGATTCTCATCGACAGAGAAGGATGGCCAGAGGAGTTTCAGCTGCTTTTCTTAAGTTTCACTGGACCCGTCCTGGAAGGTCCTCTCGAGGAGTTCCTGTCGGGAAATGACCAAGCACACTAGACAAAGTACAGAAGCACCCACGCGACACTAGTGAAGTATGATCTAGCTAGCAGCCAGCATGGTGTGCCTGGTCCTCATTCGCTTTGGGTAATGGAAGCGGGTGCTTGGCTGAAGATCAAGCGGCAAGCCTTGTCTGCATGACACCCCGAGTGCCCGAGCGCCTTGCCATGCACGATCTTTGCCACACGCACGTATGCGGATGCCTGGCACAGCCTCAGCCACGAGTCAAGACCAGACTTGACGGGCCCAGGCGAAGCGACAGAAGAGCGGAGCCGAGCCCGGCTCGGGAGATCGATTCTACTCGGGTGCAATCGTCACGGTCATTTCTGAAGCAGTTGCTGCTTTCCTTGCTACAATCATGCTGCTGTCACAGATCTTGTTGTCTGTTGCTTCTGCTGGTTTTGCTACTGCTCGTCGTGTTGGAGTTGTTGTCGTCGTTGTTCTTGTGGTTGTGACAGCATAGAATACTGCGAGAGTGGTGGTCTAAACTTGTCGGTTGACGTGTAACGTAAATGAGTATGCTTCTGCGCATGCTTCTGCTGCGCTTCCGCTGAGATCTGTGGCAATCGTTTTCGGTACTGCGACGGGCAGGGCTTCCTGGTCGACGAGCTTCCGCGAATGGGCCGTATCCTCTTTCGCCAGCCACGCAACTCACTGCGATGGCTTGTTTTGGAGGACGTACAGTTACAGTTGCCAAGCACTAATACACGCGTTGCAAATATAGTTTTGCCAAGCCAGAGGGCTGCCTATGCTTGCTAACTGCTAACCATTCCGTCGCTTCCACACGCATTGCTGTTTATTCGTGCTTCCACAACTAGCTTCTGCAAGCCCTTCCCCACAAAGTTCCTCAAGCCTACGTGCCCACAGTATCGAGAGCGAATTCCCGTCACAACGCCCCTTAACCCTTCGAGAAGCCCGGCGAGCTACGGACAGAAACAATGACTCTCATGCTAATGTGGTCACTGATGACCCTGACCGTCTCCTCTGCCTTTTTCCGGCCCTAGCCCGACCCTGCTGCAAGCAAGACGAACCTTCTGCTAAGCTGTGCTAGCTTTCGTTGGTGCCTGTCCCTTGTGGCCCTTGTGCTGCATCGACGGCTACAACCTCCCTCTCAAGCACCCTACAATGAAGAAGGGATGACATGGTCTGCAATGTCTCCAAGTAGCATCGCAAGCGCGAGCGTTCGGAGCAGCTGCATGGTCCTAGCTCAACGAGAAAGACTTGGGCTCATGATAGTTCGCTTTGCCCGACTGGCCATGTGCACCAAAACAAACAAGCCCTTCCACCCCGGTCACACCACGAAGAGACAGGGCACTTTCACCAGGGCCGGCGGAATGGAGCCAGAGGCAGCGGTTCCGGAGCGAAGAGGGAGTTGGCTTTGGGCCAAGCAAGCCGGAGGCAAATCAGAACACTCAAAGACCATGACACGGCTTCGAATGACTTGCTTGGCTCATCGAGATGCACGTCTGCTACAATACTAGCACTGTAACTAGGCACGCATCAAGTCAATACTTGACTCACAGACACAACGCCTTTATTCCTGGCACAGCTTTGTGGCTGTTCGATCGTTCTCTCTGCCGGCCCAGTCACTTTCGATGGGCACATTGGTTAATTGCTGCAATCACACACATCGACGGCCTTTGACGCCGAGCGCGACGAGGTGCATCACACCAGAATGTCACCAGATAGCCGTCTGCTGGCGATGGCACTGACGGTCTTCGCATCTGCATCTTTCTCTTGCGCCTGCATTGTCGACAACTCCGATCTGCTACCGGCAATTACCGGGAACATACCGTTATTTCGCTCCCTAGTAGGCCGCTCAAGATATTCATGGGGAGAGAGCACTGTGAACTGCAAGGCGAGACCAGTGGAAGAGTCTCCAAAGCTGAGCAAGCGACTGCCGCGACCTTCCCCGCGCTCGCTTTCGCAGCGCCTGCGACCTGCAATCAACCCATTTGAGCAGGCCCTCTCTGAGGTGCAGTATGCCGCACGCTCAGCCAAAGCTGCACATAAACTGACCCAAACAGAAATGCCAGCCGAGACTAGAATGACGAGAATGCCGATTGCAGTCGCCGAGCTGCAGGCATATTGCATGCAGGCAGCAAAAAACAAGCTCTTGAGTTGAACTTGGGCACCGGGCTCGGCATGGTTCAACCGAGGCCCTTCTAGGATCCCTTGTGCCTGCACGGCCTTGTCGACCTGCTGCTGGAAAGTATCCGACGGGGTCGATGCTTCCTCTGCCTTCGATGTATCTCACCATGCTAGTAGCTGCTAGGCGGAATCCTTGGAGACAGTGTCTTTACGGAGGTCAGTCTCACGCCCGCCTTGTCTGAACCAGCCATCGCCGACTTGGAGACCTGCAAGGAGAGACTCTGTCAGTCGCTTAACATGAGCCCCCGAGTATTGCCGGAAGCCCTGTCTACGGCTTCCCTTCCCGTTTCAGCACACGGCCCCCACTCTCTTCCCTTTACTACCACGGCTATGCGAAGACGAAGATTACTCTGGAAAGACGACGAAGATGAGGAGGTGACGTACAGTGTACTGCTTGCTGGCCAACTGCTACTTGCAAGTGCTGTCTAAGAGGAAGTTCTCTAACGTTGGACTCGACTTCGTCGGGCCGTGTTGATAGTTGCACCTGGGGTCCAGCCCCTCCTTAGCTTCGCGCGACCTCTCTGTCTCTGCGTCTCTCTGTGCCCGTCTGCACTCGTACTTGCATCGTCTCGCCCACAAGCACCCGGAAGTTTCAGTGAGTGTGACAGCTGCATGCTGGTCGAAGGCATCACACGAACGCTGGCAGCAGCACCTCTCCAAGACCGCCCACGACTGACGACGACTCGGCGCACCCGGAAGCTTTCTAAAGACTTTTCAAGACGACGGGTCTAAGCAGGACTCGAAGCGAGCAAAGCTGGGTCCCTGGCCGGGGCGGGGACTGCTGGCAAGGCCGGCGGTGCCGGTGCGACCGCTGGGGCCGGTGCTACCGGTGGGACTGCTGGGACAGACTTGGTTGCGGCCTCAGCAAACAGTCTTGGTTTGCAAAAAACGCTCACACGGACATGCCCCAAACTGAGCCGCAACTGTCCCCTTGGCTTCCGCTTCGGCTTCCTTGGCATCATCAGCCTGCGGTGCGACGGGCAGGTGCTGGCACACGGTCGGAAGCCCACCGCAATATTTCGAACATCCGGCTGCTCAACTTTCCCAGACTCAACTCCCGTATTCTCACGGGCCTGCTCCTTCACGACCTGGCAATGTTCCGGTGTGGGAGGGTTTGTGAATGCAGTGACCGCATGCAAAAGGCCCCCCGGAATTCGTCTCTTCAGCTCAACACCGCACCGGGAAGCCTTTGAATGCCTTTCCCCGTCCTTTATTCAAGGGTCCAAAGCCGAAAGCTGCCTCGGCCATGAGAGCTGGTGCTGTTGCCAACGTCACTTGTCGCTCCTCTTGGGTCGGTGTCTCAATCAGTAGATTTGAGAGAGCTGTGTCCCGTCCCCCGATCCGACTACCCGTCTGCCCGTCCTGCGAGGGGTCCACCTTCATTGCCTTCTCAGACGCCTTGGCATCAACTTCAGTAGTCTTTTGGAATCCAGGAAGAAATGGTGATGAGCGTCGCTAAGCATGAGGAGAGGTCGATTTGTCGACCGAGGATGATGGATCGGACGGCAGCACCAGACAGGATCATCTCAGCCTCCTGAGGGTCCTGCTGCTGCCTCCTCAGCTGCTTTCTCATCTGCCTCTTTCTTCTTCTGCTCTTCTGCCTGACGGCTCAATCAACGACCTACAACTGAGTAAGCTGGGCTGGACGCGTGAACGCGGCTGCTTTGACAACATGCGCAATCACCGATACAATCGCCGGCCAACTTCAGACCCGGGTGTTTCATCGCTCTAGATTTAGCATGACTCCTTTGGTTCGGGGAATCATGTCCAACAGTAGATTCCGCCGATTTTAGCTTGCGGGATTTTTGCGGGAAAGAGCGCCTGTTTCTATCCAGCTTGGGCACCTTTCTGCAGCTTCTCTCCGCATCTGCTTGGCCCTCCCCCTTCCAAGCTCCACCTCCCGGCTTCCACCCAAGGCACCCCTCCTGGTGGCGTTTCTCACGTGGTTGTTGCTGGGATTATGCTCCCGCCCACAGTCCTGTGCTGATTTTACCTTCAAATCGCTCGAAATCGCGAAAATCCTCGCAGGCCGACGCTTCTCGGCTCCACGGTCTGAATGCTTTGGGTATATCCGATGTTCGCAATCGTGTTCCCGTCACATCGCCGCCTGCCACAGTCCAGCTCATGGCGGCGTGCGCTCGCCTCATGGTAGCCTGCATATTTTGAGTGCGTCTCGTGTTTTCGCCTCCCAAGATCGTGTTCCCGCGGGCTCACAAGTGCCGTGCGTGGTTTGGGGTGCCAAATCGTGCTCCCATCACAGTTTGGCTTGCCTTTGGACTGAAACTCTTTGAGTCTACACTTTCACAATCTCGTGCGCTCCTCCAACCACCTTACGTCCACCACCAAGCGCCGCCTGCTGAATCCTCTTCTTGTTAAAGTGCTAGCAGTCCGTCGACTGCAAGTGTCAGTACAAATCACGCGGTCCTGCAAGCTAGGGTCAAGTCAGGCCATGCTCGCAGACATGCGGTGCGTCCTGTGTTCTGCAGCTTGGCGGTGATAGCTTCAAAGAGTAGAAGCGAAGTCCACATGAGACCATGTCATGTGCATCATGCTGGTTTCAATCGCATGGCTTCAAATGATGCTGCTCTGCCGGGCGCGAATGATCTTCATAAAGCTGGCACCTCGGGGCTTCGAGGGGTCACAAGAGCATGTTCGGCCGACACGCCCCGTGCGCGTACTTTGGGGGCCCCGGGCGTAGCTGAAAGCTTTCAATGGCCATGCACGTGTTGTTGTGTACAGCCGCTTTCATATTGCTCACGGCATGCACGTTGATCTCAGGCTTGCATATTGAAGCGTCTCATCGGTGTTGGGATGAAAGCGTCAAGCTACGATGTTTTGCTTCAAAGCTTGCAAGTCATCTCCGTTCGAGTGTTTGTTCATCGTCGCAGACGACTGCACAATTTAAAGAGAATCTCTAGAGCATGAGCATGCCCAAAGCCGTGCCCGGCCTTGCGTGCTGTTGCCTCTGCTTTCTTCTTCGCAGCTGCCAGCTTCTGCTTCTCCTTCTCCTGCGGAAGCCCCGGCGACCGGCCAAAGCGAAGGGATCAGTGATGTGAAAGCGTGTTATAGAACAGAAGTGTTTGTACTATGTTCGAAAACGCTACCTTCCGTTTCCCATGTTCTGCGGAGCGGGCTCTGGTGCCTGCTTGAACTTGGTGAACTCGCCTAAGTCTACCTGACTCTTCTTGTTGGACCAGTAGAGGTTCTTGTGGACGAAGAGATAACCCACCGAGCCATCATCCTTGCAGTTGGACAAGGACTCCTCCACCCCGAGCTTAGTCATACCGGGAACTTCCATGACCGTGTCGTGAGTCAGGACATGTCCGGCAATCACCAGACCCGGCTTCGTCACGAAAAGGTCGTCAATCTTGCCTGTGTTAATCTGGTTCATTGCCTTGTAGCATTCGGCCAATTGCCCCCCACCCAGCCAGTATAAGGAGCCAAGGTTGCCCTGCAAGATTTGCAAGACCACCCCGTAGGTCGCCACCAAACCTTTGGTCATGCCCACAACGTCATCCTTGCATATTGTTGCCGGCACGCAGTTAGCTGCGTAGTCGTGCTCGGCATGTGCCTTGTTCTTAAAGATGAAGAAGTAGTTGCAGTCGGCGCTGACTCTTGCATCCAAGCTTTGCGGATCCACATGACCTTCTGCACCCGCATCTTCTGACAAAACGTAGACAAGCAACACGAAACAGATGCTCTGCAAGACTCACAGCCAAGACTGACACTGGATGACAAGCATGCAACCAAATGGCTGCAGCTGGTCTTGTCGAAGATGCCCTTTGCAACGTCAATTGTTGATCCGTAGATGTTGTTCGAATTGACGGACTCTGCGATGTGAAGAGCTTGGCCTGCACAGTCCCGGCTTAGTTTGCGCTGGGCTGTGGACTTGGGGTTCGGGTCGAGATCAACTCGCTTCCTGTTCACCTTCTGCCTAAATGCAGACTGTAGTCCACCCGATAGCATCATGACATGGCCTCGTGAGGATGAAAAATACACCTTAAATGTTTGACAGCGTCTTGATGCCTGATCCTGAATGAAACAGCCTTGCGCCACACTTCTTGCACAGCTAGCAGTGTGGACTTCGATCTTCGCTGCTGCCTTTGTCGGCACCGCAGCAGCTGCCCAGCAGATCCAGGGACCCGAAGTTGCTGTTCAAGTGCCTCAAGCTCAGTCGAGACCGAGAGACATGAATGATGCTCCGTTTCCAGCGGGTACCTGCTTCTACTGCACATTGCAGCATTACATTGCCTTCAGCCTTGCGTCAGTGGTGCATCTTCACTTCCAACCTTGCTCCTCAATCGAAAGAGCTTTCACTTGTTCGAAAACCCTTCTTGCCGGGGCTCTTGAGCTCATCCGCGTAGAAGCCGGGGGGCGCGGAGTTGTCGAGGAGCTCCTCATTCTGGCGTGGTTTGTGCAGAGGAGGGCTTGCCTGCAAGGGGAGCCGCATCTCGCGAAGACAGCTCCCCAGTGTCCTGCCCCGAGACTACGGACGCCACTCTCGGCGCAGCAGAAGCACCCGTAAGCAGCGTCAGGCAAAAGGCAAAAGTAAACATGGCCGATCCCGTTCCCAGTCAGAAAAGCCAGAGTAGCTGCGCCTGCGGAACAGATAATGCCATGACAGCGACTGTAACCATTCCTGGGACCTGGGGTTCCAAGTCCCGGATGCGCAGATTCTGCCTAATTTCCGCCCGCTCTCTGCGAGCAAGGCCGCCGACTCAGGTTGAGCTTGCAGTCTACACTTGGAGCTCGGATTCTGGTTCGATGCTTTGCATCGCTGACGAAGCCAAAAACAGGTCTCAAAGTGCGAGTCTCCTCCGAAAGCAGCCTTCTGCGCTGGTCTTCCATCTTGGGCCTACTCACTTTCCGCGACTGATCCTGCCTTAACCCCCTTAGCCAGCTGATGCAGGATTTGGGTTGCTGAACTGCTAGGCATCTTGCCACACAGAAGTCTGCCTAGCGACCATAAAGCGTGCAAGTTGGAGAGATTCCGGCGATGCTACCACACCAGCACTTGAAAAGACTTGGCGGTGTGAGGGTCGGACCAGTGCTTGCAATGTGCGAGAGCATTGCGAGCACATGCTGATGCAACCCTAGTTGCCTATTAAGTGAACAGCACATGCTTGGATCTTCTAGGGCAGCAAGGGTGAAAACACACTGCGCAGGAAGGAGTCCAGAACATCCCCACGGTGTTCCATTGACGAGTCATCCGAGCGCACATCCTGCAGAAATGATGCGAGCAAGGAATCAAGGCTCCATGTGCCGTGCGCACTGCTGGTTTCAGCTTGTTAGCCTCGCAAATTCGAGTCTTGGCTGCTGTACTGTCTTGTGCTGACCTAAACTTGAACTGGGCGCAAAGTGTGAGTTAGCTAGGACTGGTATCATGTCAGATTCAACTGGCAAGTAAAGCCAAGAAAGGAAAATAGGTGTATGAACATTTTTATATATAGACAATCACACGTTGTCTGTTAGATCCTTCCTTGGAACGATCGTAGAAGTGCAAATGCACTGCAAGATTCAGCATCAAATACTGCTTCGTGGACGACTCCAAGATTGCAAAATCACACGTGCACACATACAAGAAGAGTAGAAGATGCCAACAGTAGCACATTCGCAGTTGTGGGGGGGGCATGGCTGGTTCTTAGAGATTGGTGTCGTTCGGCACGTTCCAATTTGAGTTGCTGGCTGCACAGCTCGACTGCAGTAGAGTTCGAAGAACTTAACTGCTGAGGGTCGGCTGGCTGCGGAACTTGTAACTGTAACAAGGTGTCAGTGTGTTTCGACTGTGCCGGGAGATTGCAGCGTTGTCCTTCGGATTTGGGTATTGGAATTATGAGTGCAGTGAGCGCTTTGTCCTGAACATCACCAGGTTCTGAACCAGGTGTCAGGACCTTCATCGAGCAAGAGATGACAGGGACATCTGACAGGATGTCTGAGTACGCTCCCCCAGGCCACAGTCTACTGAACAGGGGGAACTGCAGAGCATCACGACAACTGCAAGGCATCAGACACATGTCGCGTGGCAGGGCGACAGAGAACAGGCTCAACATCCAGACGTCGTAAAACATGTCTTGGCAAGCCTCTGCAGCTTCTCGCTGCCCAGCAAGCGGAACCACGGAGTCTGTCCTGTTCGCGAAGTCGTCTCATTGACTCAGTGCTTGCTGCATAACGAGGCACATTACCATGGAAGTCTCGCCCCGGGTCTCTGCAACCAGGAGGCTGCAAGACAGGCAGAGGAGCCGGCTCGATGCACTGGCCTGCGTAGCTCGACTTAAGTTATAGTCTGCAAGAACTATCCATCTGCCTCAACGCACGAGGACACCAATCAGTACATGTCAACAGAAACCACCCAGTATTGTATGCTTCAGTGCCCCATAATCCAAGCCTGCATCGGAGCCGGGAGGCACTAAGCAAGCCCGAGCCTGGCATTCCAACGCGCAGCCCTGCTGCGAAGTGGCACTGGCTGCTACACAACTGGACGGCCATGTCAGTAGCGCCTTGAGCGTCACGTGGCCTCCACGGCCCCGCGCTCCGAAGGACCACGCACCTGACACACCGCGCACGGGCACATGAACTGCAAGTCTCTGTGAGTGCAGCCGCATTATCAACGGACCTCCGACGTGCTATGGGGAAAGGGCGAAAAGAGGCCACGGCCGTGGTTGTGGACTGCAAATGCAACACGGGAACACCCCATAACACGAGTAGGCTACCGAAACGGAATGCTCCCCAGACTCAGGCCCAAGAGAATCAAATCTCGGTCCGGCACCGTGCCCACATCGGCCACGCCGGGGCGGTCTCAGAGGGGCAGCCTGGAAGACTTCGATGGTTTGCAGTTTTACAGATCAAGGCCTAGGAGTTTGAAGCCAAGATCTCAACCGAGGTTTGCAGTGGGTATTTGCCGATTCGGGAGGAATGCCTGTAGGATTTGTATGGATTTGTGGTTCCTGAGATAATAGAAGCAGATTTTTAGTCATAGTCAGTTTGAATATGCATCGACCAGCGCGAGAACTACCAGCTCCAGAAATGAGCACGTATTGAACTCACACACGAAAAGAACAACTCGCCTGGCACGGGGACTGCGAAGCTAAGCCGTTGCTTCAGAGTCGCAAACAATGTGGTTTCGCGAGTGGAGCTGGAATTCGAAGTCCTCTGAGAACGGATCTCCTTGCAGCGTCTTGTAGTTCCACCAAGGGCAAAGTGGCAAAAGCTTCTCTCTCCAGCAAAGTCCGGTCCTTGCTTGCGACGCGGCAGACCAGGGATTCTGCCTCCCACTTAGCGAAGAGCAGATCTTGGAGCCTCAAAGAACTTGAAAAAGGAAAGACCACTTAAGTGAGGAGTCCCAGGACCAAACTTAAGGGGCCTGGCAGCAGCAGCATCCCCATGATCCTGGCACTCGCAGGCCAGAGATGCTCAGACACAAACCTCATGGAGAGGAGCTCCTCGAAATCTTCGACGGCCTCATCTTCGCCGGCTTCCTTGCTGAAACCGCTTGCCTTCGAAGATTCTCGAGTCGGCTGGAGCCTGAACAAAGCTATTGATATGACCCTTTTTCGTGGGTTTTGGAGCTTCATGGAGCTTCCCTTTGGCATTTGGGGTGTGCGGATCATCTAATCTATCATTTATTGGTGTCTTGAACCGGTCAACATTGACTGATCGACCGCTGGGGGATTTCCCGCCTGCGATTTATTTGTGACATCTCTGCATTTCTACGGTGATTGCGTAGGACTGGGCTGCGCTCCACTCTGTGAGTTTCTGCCCATCATGTCCATTGTCTGTCGCTGCTGATCTGTAGCCAGCGTGCGCCTTGTAATCACCCTTCGTGCCTGAAGTATTGAAAGGACAATTTCAAACTGCAGGGGGAGTCGTGTGGTGTCCTTTGACATCGTACCTCTACGCAACGCAGCAGGCTATCGGAGTGGGAGGCCCTAGCAGGCCCGAATGGCCAGGAAGCCTTTGGGAGGGCTTGGGCGGCCGGCAAATCCTTGCACCTGCTGCAAGGGCCTGCTTGGCACGGATCATCGACAGATTGCTTTGCTGTTTTACATGGGGTACACGAAACAAAACACGAGTGTTCAATTCATGTCAGTCGACGATCCACTGGGTGACACCACTGACTGGCATTACGGTCGTGGGGTCCTCGTACACGTAACAAAACACGAGCGCTCGATTCATTTCAGTCGACAATTCATGAGGCCACACCACTCACTGGCGTTACGGTCGTGGGGTCCCCGGTCTCATAACAAAACACACGTGTTCGATTCAGGCCATTCGACGACCCATGGGGTTACGCCACCGACTGGCGTTATGGTCGTGGCGTCCCCGTACACGGAACATAACACTAATGTTCGATTCAGGTCATTCGACGACCCATGACCCATCCATGGTGTCGCACCACTGACTGGCGTTACGGACGTCGGGTCCCCGTACACGTACCAAAATTCAGGTCAGTCGACGATCCATTGGGGGCACACCACTTCCTGGCGTTAAGATTTTGGGGGCCCCGGGTTGGGCACTCCAGAGAGTGTGGAGTCTCTCCACGGAGTCTCACTGTAATTTCTGGGGTTGGGTACTCAGGGAGTTTGACGGTAGCCTCTGGGGCAGGGAGTTTCACGGTAGTCTCTGATTTGGGCACTCCACAGAGTCTCATGGTAGTCTCTAGGGTTGGGCACTCCAGGCAGTCTCATGATAGTCTTTGGGGGTGGGCTACGGGCAGTCTCTGGAGGTAATCTCAGCGAGTCAGGAGTGGACGAGGAGCGGGCGGGAGCAATAGCTGACTTTAAAATCGAACAAACCCCACACCGAGGGTGGGAAAGAATCACTTCCTTGGTTTTTCTAGTAAGCTTACCAAGGATAAATAGGGAAACACTGGATTCCAGTTGTGCTTCCGGGAGAACTCCAAGAACTTATATATATATATACACATACATACATACATGCATGCATATTTATAGATGTATATTTATAAGGTTTGAAACTGTCAAATACCCGTCTGTAGACGAGAGGCTCCAAAACAAGCTATTAAAAATCCTCAAGCGTTTGCCGACACCTTCTGTTGAACACTGCAGGTGCACACGGCTTTGTCGAGTCCGTTAGCAGGAGGAGGTCTTATTACTTGACATCCTAGACAACCAGCTTGAGTGAGGGGTGGAAGTCATTGTTCTCAGACTACTTACAGATGATTTACAAGTTTTTGAGACGTTATCCGGAGATGCCAGACGTTACAAGCTGAATGTGATAGATAATTGGCACGTGTCGGCCAGCATTTTTGTGACATTTTTGACAAAATGACTTCCTGGATCCGCTCCCAGACAATAATACAGATATGGGTTATAAAGCTGGCATAGCACAGCTCTGAACTGGCTCCTCTCTACACTCCCCTGTGCCAAGGAGCTGTCGCTGCCGGTTGGCCGACTTGACCCAGCGTGTAACGGGGGCCGCAGCTGCAGACTTGCGGCTGCACGCGGCTTCGAGGCACCCAGTGGCAGCGCAGTCATTTTCCACCGGAACCTGTTGCAAGTGACTATGTTTCAGCCCAAGGGCTAGGAGACTGTTTCATGCTCCTTGGTTCCGCACTAATATGTGGCCTGGAGACACTTGGACGCCCCTTCGAAAATCTGCCGCACAAAGAACCAGACAAGAAAGAAGCAGCAAAGAAGGCTGAGGAGCATCCCCCGGGTCCATCTGTGGATGAGTTGAGCTCGTCGCTTCTGGCCATGCTCCCGGTCGGCTCGGCGACATGGAATCGGCTGCAGGTGCGAATTCCGGTAGCGATTGTAGTGGCTTGGGCTTGCAAGGCATGGCTTTTGGCCGTGAAGTAAATTCTCGTGCAGGCATCACTTCCAACTTCGCTGGCTGCGATGCCATTCCCGATGCCGTGCCGGCATTTTCAGATTCTCTCGCTGGCGCTTGCATCACCTGTGCTTGCACGTTCAACGTGTTCACAAGCAGGCATAACATGGGAGTCATGGGAGACTGTGACACTGGGCCAAACAAACTTCTTATTCCGCAGGTCGCGTCGGGCAGCTCATCCACCGCGACAATGACACCGGCAGAACTTATTGGAGGAGCGTCTTCCACAGCTCCTGCGCATCGGCTCTGGAGCAGAGCTCTGCAGTGCGTTGCAGGTTTTTGGCCTGGGCCTAACACAAAATGGTCCGACACTACAGCAAAGGGACTGGACTGCCTACATTACAAGCCTTCATGTCTTTTCAACTACACCAAGCCATACCTTGACGCAACGGACGGCAAACACACAGCACTCCAGGCAGTTCTGCCCTTGCAGGCGCTAAGGAGAACCGGCGCAGCACCTTCGGAACAGGCTGACAGCACAGGATGGAAGCTTTAGCTTGTAGCTATGATCAGAATGCGTCATTACAACCCTTCACTCAACACACACACACACACCATTCTCAGCTGCAGACGGTTGCTGGATGAGCAGAGGACACATACAGCAGCGTGCCAGGAAGTATCACCACCGGCTCATCAACGCCTCACCGGTGCTAGTTTGTAAGCCAAGAGACGTCGTCCCATCTACCAACACACACGCGAAGACAGCATAAGACAGGGGCTGTCTTGAAGCACCGGAGTCGTACTCTGTGAGGAGCCGCAGCCCATGGCCGAAAGAGGCTAAAGGGCTTCTAGGAGGGCTTCTGTCAGAGTCAGGCTGTTCAAGCCAACCGCTGTCAGGCTCTGAGACCAGCTTCTGGTCTGTGGCCTGGGTGTGTCCTTCGGGCCAAGGTCTGAGCAAGAAAGCAACTTACTTACCATGCAAATGAAGTATGTCGGGCAGTGTGGGGTCTATTGGGGTGTTCTGGAAGAAAAGCCCCAAGACAAGAACAAGGCCTTTCTTCCAGAGACTGCCAGCAATCATGACCCACTGCTCGTAGACTTGGCACGTCCTGCCTATACAGAAACCCAGAGAGAATCTCTGTGATCACTGCCAGCACAGCCGGGTGCCACATGCTGGACGATGGAAAGTCCGGCTGCTTCTTGCAAAACGCTTGCAGAGCTCGAGTGCAGTAACTACAGCATTCCGAAGGACGTGGCACCGGCCGGACTGGCAGTGAGGAGAACTGCGCCAGGTCAGAGCAGCGTCGTCTTCGTCTTCGCCTAGCGATAGCGGCCTTGGTGCTTTCCGGGCTACTGTCTGTCCTACTGAGGCCCAGCCATCGATTTGATACTCTGTGCTTTATAGAACATGACAACGAGAGGCTGTGCTGCAACTTGGCGAAGCGACACAGAACATGCTACCAGTACAGGACACAGCATCTGAGGCCCGAGCGCAGGCGCATAAGGGAGTGGCGGCGGTAGGCAGCGCGGTAGGAGGGGCGCAGCTTGGTGGCACGCTTGCCCTTCTTGAGCAGGCCACGGGCCTCTTGCAAGAAGACAAGAGGCATGGTACGTTTACTAAGTTTACAATCACTGTCTCACGCTGGAGCTGGGGTGGGCTAGGAATGTGCATACGCGTACGGTGTCCTTCTTGCCCGCGGCCGTGAGACCTCGCAGCTCGCGGTGCTTCATCACCTCAGCTCAATGCTCAGTGCACTCAGGATTAGCTTTCGGCTTGGGAGAGGAGACAAAGTCTCCAGGCCATCTCTCGGTCCGAGCCGTCGGCTGGCTTGCAGATCCAGTTGATGCGCGGGTCATCACGAACGGTCTTGTGGAAGGGGTCCACCATGACCACCTCTCAAAGCAGAAGCCCTGAGCCTCAGCTTCCGGCGAAAAGCCCATCGCCTCAAACCACTTGTGCACCGCATCCTGGGCTACCTGACGGTGCTCTTCAGAGGCGGCGCCAAGTTGGGATCTTCGAAGTGTCCGTGTACTGTTGAGCACATGATCGTGAAGCTGGAGAAACCGGCTCAAGACACACGTTGCTTCAAGTTCTTAGTGCCTGTCACTCGAGGTGCCTCCGAAGCATCACAACATGCAGATCCGAGCCGTCCGGCTGCTGGCAGGATGCCCAGTAGGAGTTCAGCACACGCAAGCTGCCGCACTTGCGGCCCACACGCTCCTCTGCAATGTTGCGCAGATTCCGGACTGCCTGATTCGAGGACTCTCCGGCACTCTCCAGATCTAACGGGGACAGCATTGCAAATCGAAAGGTCTTGCAGAGCATTCTTCCCCACACTTGTGCGAGAATTCGGGACAGCAGCTGCGAAAGCAGGGGGGTGAGCAGAGATCTTAATCTTAGACACGCCGGACAAAAACTGGTGATGCTGCGGGAGCCTTCCACTTGTTGATGCCCTGGTTCACCGGCTTGCCGTACACGATACCCTGGCAAGAAGTCTTCATAACAGCACCTTGCGAACATGACAAGCCTTTGGCACTTGAGCCGCTGTCGCTTACACGCAAGACCCGCCATTCTCTTGCGCATCATGCCTTGGCAACCCGCTTCTTGCGGTCGCCGCGCTTCACTCGCACACGGTAGATGCAGTAGCCTTGCTTGGCCTTGGAGTCCGAAAGGTTCTGCCATTTAAAGCTAGAAGTACAAGGATTAGCAGCAGCATACAGAAGCTCGCCTGCCCGAAACAGCGGTGACAGAAGCTTACTCGCCGCTTGCACTGGAGCCCCCACCTTGTAGCCCATCTTTCGCGCCTCGCATTGCAAGCTTCAAAGGATTGCTGAAGGCGCCGCTCTGACACAGTCGGGCTCTCCGCCAGGACAGAAACCGGCCAACAATATATCCAACTCTGCCGCCCGAAGTTTTGCAGCCCCACAAAGTGACCCCACACATGATATGCTAGGGACGATAAGCGAATGGTGGCAAACCGAAGATTCATGCCGGCTTGCCGCAACGCATTCAGCCGAGGCCAGCGGGAGCCTTGTCCGGGCGTGTTGGGCGAGTGCAGCGGTGCACCGCCGGCAGTTGACGGAACCTGGTTGAGCCGGATGCGCATTGCTAGGATGCTTCCAGAGAGAAACGGAGGCGGAAGACCTGACCACCCTGAGCCTCGCACTCCCAATTGCGCAGGCGCGCAAAGAAGCGCATCACATCCGACTGCTTCTTGCCTGAGCGGGGCAGGACTTGGCCAAGACTGAAAAAGGAGCAGCAGCGACAAAGGCTTTCGTTGCGTCGCCCGGGAGGCAGACGCCACATCTCTTCGAGGTACTTGTAGGCGCCCATGGTTGCTCAATTCGATACCTGGCGGTTTGGGTTACAGGTGGCTCTTGCGACGAAGCTTCCCAGGCAGCTCCGAGCCGAAGCGAATCCAAGCAACGACAAACACAGCGCTCTATGTTTGACTGGATACAGCTTTCATCTCTCCTCCAGGGGCGCACAGAGTCGGGATGCACGCGATGTATTTCTTTTGCTGGACAGTATGGACAGTCCCAGAACCAGAATGGCTCAGGCTTGCACAAAGCTCAAACAGGGTGCATGCTCTTGTCTCCCCATTCAATGGACATGCACTAGCAGCTTGTTGAAAGTCACGCCCCTGTCGATCCCAGCAAAAGCGGTTCTTTCTAACAAAGAAAACTCGGACCCCCAGCGTCAAATTGTCTCCGGAATTTGCCCTTTACGCTGCACTGAGCCAGCAACCAGGTCTCCCACAGCCGAAAGCTCCACAGGCTGGTCCTTGAAAACAGGCAGGTGCTGCCGCCGCATGCTCGCTGCTGCACCCCAAGCGGCTCGGTCCTGCACCAGCAGCTCCATGGCCTTCCGGGCACTCTGGGTGTCCAGCACGGCAAGAAGGGACCTGCGAGAGCAACGCTCAGAGCTGAGCTGCTGCGGTCTTTTCGCAGGCTCCCCACTTTGTGGACGTGTCGAGCATGCGCTTCTTGCACCGCTTGGAAGCAAAATATGCACGGGTCATGTCGCTTGCGGACCTGGCACGGTGACACGGCACTGTACACTGCAAGCTTGAATTTGAATATCGTAGTACTCCTATTGGGAGGGTCTGTTGGCCTTACTTAGGTTGAGCAGCTGTAGCTGGCATGGGAAAAAGGATCACTCGCCTACTCGCTGCGACTGTGGTCAGAACAACTGACTGTGGTCAATATGGTCAATTTCCTCCCAGCAAAATGCAGCTACACTTCGGCAGGCTGGAAGATAAAGACGGACTAAGACAAAGCCTTTCGCAAAGCATCCCCGAGTCTGGAAATATCTTCCTCAGAATGCTCAGAGGAGCAGCAGAAACGCAGGGTGGGCCTTGCGCCATTCGGTGCCTTCAGCCGAGCATCGAAGGCTCCTTCTGAGCCGCACAAGCTCGGCGAGCAGACCTGCGCTCGCAACCCGTCCTGGGCGAGGGCCCGGCTAAGGCGCATAAGCTGCTGTTCTGCGTCGTCGTGCTTCCACCGAAGTTGCTGTACAAAGGATTCGGAACTGCTCAGCAGTTCCAATGGAGAGTCCTCAGCAATCGAGGCCAAAGTTAGATGCAGCTTTGCTGCAGCGGCCTTCAATCGCTCCCGCCGGCTTTTGCCTTCTGCAGAAGCCAGGTCGTGCACGGTGGCCATTGCCGCGGAGCATGCCGACCTAAGCAAACAACCACCAAAAGTCGTGGCTCAAGGTAAGGTACTCGGTGGCACTACAGCTTGGATGATCTTCGCATCGGCCTCACAAAATACAATGGCTCCAAGCCACGGAGGGCACGACGCTGAGAAGCAGTAGCCTGCTCCTGCGAGCCTGCACAAGGCACGTCTTCGCCCCTGATGACCGCGACTGCGACCCTTTGGCCTCTGGTGGTCAACTAGACCACGCCGGCCAGCACAAAAGCCGCCTGCGGAGCAACACATCATGAGAGGGCCTCCACGGGAAATGGGGCCTCGCCTACCCCTGCGGCAGCATGCTCTAGCGAGCCCATGATCGCATCCACCTGCAAGAGTCGAAACATCTCGATGGTCTATCCGTAGAACCCGTGGCCCTGCCTGCGTCGGAGGGATCGATTGGAGCTCCGTGAGACCCCGGCCGGTTTCGCCCAAACAGCCAAAGGACAGGGTCTCGTCGAGCACCAACAAAGCTCCATATCTCTCTTTCCTGGCGGAGTACCGACTTCTATGGCAGAAACAATCCCGAAAAGGCAAGCTGCTACACCGATCTACTCCGGACCCCTCCCCTAACGTGCTGGTGGGGATCAGCTTCACGAGCTCCGCCAGCGGTGCCAGCTGCCCGGTGCGTTGGTTCATGGCCTCCACCATGATGAAAGTCCGCCGGGACTCCTTGGAGTCCTTTCCTTCAGGGGATCAGACACAGCGACGCCACAGGTGCAATGCAATAGCGGAATAGCGAGGCCCCGCGGCCGCGCAGCCCCGCGCCTTTCTCCAGGCTCCTGGTGGATTTCGCCGCTAGCGCCCGCTCGATGGAGAACAGGTCGTTGTGTGGAACCCAAGTCACGTCGGCCTTGCAGAGACGGAGGCCAGCACGGAACCCCAGGTGCACCTCAGAATCCACAATGACTTTGTCCCCGGTTTGCACCAAAGCTGGGATGACACTGGAGACGGTGGTGACTCCAGCAGAGTAGACGATGGCGGACTCGCATCCAAGATGTTTGGCAATCACCGTTTCCAGCTCCAAGTGCGGGAGGGAGCCGCCATAGAAGCCACGAGGACCACAGGCTCCAAAGCCGTAGTGGTCCATCGTTGCCTCCGTTGCTTGGAAGGCTGCCTCCAGTGGCGAGGCCGCATAGCCAAGCGGGTCCATAAGCCGGAACTCCTGGCTACCTGGCACGACCTCCTCCGGTCGGGCACAGGCCTCCTGCAAGGAGGCCAGCAGGCTGTCCTCAGCTGGCGCTGCCGGCGACAGCGCCTCGGGCCGCCAGCTAGCCGCGGGCGTGGCATCGACCTTCTTGGTCAGCGGTGCCGTGCGGAGCCAGGAAGCGTATTGCTGATCCTGCACCGCTCGAGCTTCCAACTCCTGCTTAGAAGTGGCCAACTCAAAGAGCACGCCGAGCTCTCGGCCCACGGCAGTGATTTCCGTGATGGCCTCAGCCAGCTGCGGAATGCTGTGCGCCGCAGAGATGCAGAAGCGCACACGTTCGTAGAGAATGGGCACGGCAGGGTTGCCCACCACGACCACTGCGATGCCGCGGTCCAGGCAGCGTCGTGAGAAGGCGGCCATTTTCCAGGGGTGGTGCAGCATCACCGGGATGATCGGAGAATCGACGTCGCCCAGAACCTTGAAGCCACGACGAGCCAGCTCCTGCAAGGGAACTCTTAGACGTGGGACCTTCAATATAGGGCCCTGCCCTGCCTCGCGGAAATAGTTGGCGTTTTCCTTGATAGCCGCGAGCTTCCGTGCCCCGGTGTCACCACCTTCACAGACGTCCCGGACGACATGCGCCAACATGGCCAACTTGCCAACACCCCGTCGAGCCCCAATGCTTACGCCTAGGCCTGGGATCTTGCTTGGAAGTCTATGGAAGCCTTGCATAGCCTTGCACAAGCCATCAAACGTCCAAATCCAGGGCTTCATCTCCTACACCACCTCCCCCTGCGCCCACAGCCACAACTCCACCCAACCAATCTCAGGGAGTGCGTCAATCCGGCTCAAGCAGAAGCACAAGCCGCCTTCCTTGCCAGAGATGACGCGGAGAGCCTGCAAAGCCTGCGCTGCGCAGGGTGGCGCCATGCCACCGGCAAACCTTGGGCGAGCGATGATCTCCCTCAACTACCATCCCCAGTCGTTCATGTCTTTCTGCAGCGGGTGCATTGCATCTGCCCTGCTTTTGCCTTAATGTGTGGTGTGCCGGCTTGCATTGCTCGTGGGCTACTCAGGGGCTGACTGAGCTGCCCTCTAGAAGCGGGACGTCACGGACATGTAAATCGACCAGCAAGAACGAGTAGAGTGCACTGATCAACGTGAAGCAAAAAAGCTCATGCAAAGGTGCATCACCAGCATGAAGACTAGCGGAGGCAGAGAGATAGAAACCAGCAGTCGCACACTCGATGAAGATCTGCGAAGTAGCTTTAGAAACTCCTTTGCCGCTTTTTTCTTCTCCTTCCCCTGGATCTTCCATGCCACCACAAACCTAGACTCCGCCAACCCCTACGAAGTTCACTCCCTTACCGATCAAGCGAGCGACACGCTTCCTGGCGCTCCGCGGCGAAGAGCAGCGATGACTTCCTCCGAGTAGAGATTACATGCAGCAACTCTACACTACCAGCACGACGCTGTATCTCTGCACTCCTTCGAAGCTGCGACGTAGCCTCCGGCACTCCCGAAGGACTTCGTGAAGGTTCCCATCATGATGTCCACCTTCGTAAGTGCCGCAAGACAGCAGAGCCTCGCTTCTTGGCAAATTCGCCAACACTCGGCCTCGGAGGTGGGAACGCCCAGCAGCTCGGTGACGCCTCGTCCCGTTGCACCTACCGCGCCGATGGAGTGAGCTTCGTCCAGGTAGAGGTAGGCTCCGTACCTTCCAGGCAGGGACACGGAAATTCTTGAACCGGCAGTGCCCTGAAGTACCAGATGCTGTAAACTGAGTGGTACTGCTAGGCCTGTGCCAAGGGTCGAGGTTCCGGTTCGTTGCTAGCAAATTCTCTTCACAAACCCCACGTCAAGCTGGAGACTTTCTTCGGCATTGATTACTTGCAAGACCAGATGAACTGGAAGGACAGAAAGCTTTACAACAGCACATCACCATATCAATTTATTACGGTGTTAAAAATGGGTTTTGAAGACGGAGGTGATAAAATGATATGTATGGTAAGTATGGATCAGAACCACAACAAGGAGATGGATAAGAGCATTGATAACAACGTAAGCAGCGCCCTACTGGTAGCAATGGGATAACAAGGTTGCCATTCACGTTGAGGGCAACAGCGTGCTCAATAATCATTACTACTTCGATGTTCATGGCAGAATTGCTAATAGCACTGGCAACGGTTGTGCAACATCTCTTGTACCAGTGTGGTCACGATATACGTTACCTTTTTACTTCGTTGCTATCAGACACAATCGCTTAAGCTCATACCAAAAATGAACTGCGAACTACTGACTCTGAACAAACTCAAAGAACACCCATGTAAAAAGCGAGATAAGCGCAAGTTGATAGGCATATACAGATCACACTAAAATGAGGATCGCACAACTTGGGCTTTCTGTAATCCTCCTGACTCTAAACTCCTTATAGCAGTCGTCATAGGCTAAGTACAGATTCCTTACATTCATGTGCTTCCTTGGTGCCGTAGTCACAGCTGGTACGAAAGGAAGGCACGCCACCGAGATTTGCGATGGGGGATACAGGTGGTGGATTCATGATGCGCGTGTGCATGTTGTGTAATCTCAGTTGGAAGGGTTCACAATCCGGTCTTCGGTACTTTGAGGCATGGGAGCTAGCAGCATCAGGAGGAGCAGGCGGTGGAGAACGCCAGATGCAGCTCTTCGCGATCCCCATGCTCTGCCTGTTCTTGATGGTCACGATCTCGCGCAAGCGGCAGAAGTCTCCTGCTTCTCGCCCACGACAAATATCCACATGATCGCTATGCCAATAGTGACAGGCACGGAAGCCCAGACGAATCCGAAACACTTAGCGACCACTTAAATCAATCTGAGGCATAGTACCCTCGGAGGCATGAAAATCAGAAGTGTGCCTTCCATTGAGTAGATGCCCTCCACCACTACGAAGATCTTGCGCCACGGCTTTCCGCTGCCTCGATGATCGATGCCGAAATCTAACATAAACCACAAGGAAAGACTCTATAACCGTCCTTGTTCCAATCCTGCCTATCCGCATGCTAAAAAGGACCTTGTCGGCTCGAGAATAGCAACTCTGCAGCAGAACCCGCCTGGCTGGCCCTTCTCCACTGCCTTCTGCAACTCCCCTTCCAAGGCAGTCATCTCGTTGTGCGCGAAGGCACGCACGGTGGCACCAGAGAGGCGCACACCTTAGACCGTTGGGGAAGCGAAGAACTTGGAGGCGATGCTTCGGGGATGTTGAGGGGAGCATCGGGCCTTCCACAATCGAGCGATGATTCAGCTCGTCACTGAGGACCAAAATGCCACCGCCGTTCGCATTGGCCTGACACTCGAGATCAGGGCACCTTGCGGCCTAGCTTCCTTCTTGGCTCTCATGCAAATCCGACTGCCTGGCCTCAAAAAGAGCCGGAAGGATGGTGGAGTTTGTAGCGAAGCCCATTCCCAGCACCAAGGCATCCTCCTCGTAAGCTTGCAAGCTGTGGTCAATCCACAGTCAGCAAAAGTTATGGACGTGACTCTCCCTTGGTATGTTCCTCTCTGACCTGGCTAACTGTAACACATTCCGGGAGAGCTCTGGGGCTTGCCTTCTGCAGGTACGCCGCGACCTCATCTTCAAGCTGGCGATGGATGTCCTCGTGGCACGCGCACGGCAAAGCGCTGCAAAGCACAGCTAGGAACGCCAAAGTCACTCCTTGGTACCCCCTTCTGTACGGGTTCCCGAGGTGGACCAGCCCATCTCCCGCACAGCCTTTCGTGCAACGGGGGTGCAGAACCTGAGCATCGCTCACTGCGCAGGACATCCGAAGATGCCAAAACCCTCGGCTGCCGAGTAGCTCATCGACACCGCCAAAGCCAAGATAGTTGTAGGACGAGAGGTTCACGCACTTGCGAGTGTTCTTCGTGAGCTTCAGGTCATTGAGAGGGCCGAACAAGTCTCCACCCGCCCGCTCTCTAATCACAACATCAACAGCTGCATCAGGGGCAGAGGCGATGGGTCGTGCAAAGCAATCCACGTAGAGCTTGTACATGTGCTGCAAATAGAAATCTGTCCATCCAACACTCCACTTCTCTCGCTGCATGTACCGGACACAGAGTTCATCCTTCAGGAAGAAAGCACACGCCCGGATAATGTACTCACGAATAAGACCAAGGCCGAAGAGGCGCACATATCCGAAGTAGGCATGTGCTTCCTGAAGGAAGGTCATCTGAATCTTCTCATGTGCTGTGCTGGCTTTCTCCTTCTCACCCTTCGATGCCTTAGAGCGGCGGCTAGGACACAAAAGCCTCAGCAGGGCTGCCATGGCATGGTTGAAGAGGGTGAGGCCTGTGGCAATGAGGCTGGCGACTGCCTCGAGCATGCCAGTGAGACCCAGAGAGGAGGCATGGTCTCGAGGATCCCAGCCTGTAAGCAGCGTCCACAAAGCACCCTCTGGGGTGAAGAGCCGCCACAATGGCTCCAGGAGTCCCAGCCCGGTGCCGTCCGAGAAGAGGTCCGAGAAGAGCAGGTCCGTGGAGTCCGCGCACTCCATGAGGTGGGACGTGGGAGCATTGGAGTAGCCAGCCTTGGGGCTCTCCTCCATCAACGCCAGCAGAAACCCCACGAAAGCAATCGCCGCACAGCACGTTAGGAAGAGGCCAACCTCAGGGCGACTCAAGACAGGAATCAAGTCTCCGACCTTCGTGGCAACCTCAGACGCTCCTACAAAGCTCGAATGAACCGGGCTGCGCCCCAAGGGCTGGCAGCAACATCCTCAACCGGCAGCATCCTCTGATTTGCAGGTGGCTTGCTACAATGGCTCACCGTTCTACCTAGTTCATCTTGAGCACCCAAAGCGACGCCAATGCAAGACGCAGTCCAGCGAGAGACGACTCAGACTCTGTTCTGTGGCCATTCTCTGCTCACTGGCATCGGGGAAGGAGGCCCGTGCACTTTTTGCAGGCCTGCCTCAGCGTGTCGGAGAGCCTCCCTCGTAACCATCGAACCATCGCCCGATGTGCACCTCTGCTTGAGCACTGGGCCTGGGGCTTCTTGTCCCATCAAGTCTTGGTGCCCGACGTCGTCCCAGATCCCACTCCTCCAAACAGAACCAGAACGCATTCTGCTGGGTAGCCAAGGTGTCAAAAAGCATTCAGACATGAGCTGACGCCTGGAAACTGGACCGGAGCCAGGACACGCTGGCCGAGAGCAAGGCAAGGCTGCCTCAAAGGACGAAAACGTTCTCACCCCGCACTCGCCCTGACAGCCCCAGCGTGAAGCCTTGCACATCACCGGAGCCCCCCAGCAGTATGCCTGGGCATTCTCACATCTTTTCAAGGCGTGCAGCACATGTCTTTGAAACAAAAAAACTCAGGTGCTTTAGGAATTGAGAGGCTATGCTGATCCCGCGCAAGTCGCCTGTCTGGGACCTCTGCTGATGGTACTGCGGATGTACTGCAGTGAAGACAGGTGCAAGATATGCTCTCGAAGTCTCCTCTTATGGCAGCCCTTGACAGACAGGATGCTTAACATTAGGGAACTTTCAAAGACAAAAGTGCTTTGCTTCCAAGACAAGGGTTCGCTTCTCCACCGAGAGTGGTGCATCAGGTCGGTGTGCAACATCAGAGCTCAGCTGTTGCTGGCTTTGGCTTGTGGCCACATAGACTATTTCTATAGAAGCTCTAAATAGTCGGATGGCAATCCACTATGAAAAAGCTCACGATCAAGAGGCTTGCTCCGCTTTAGGTGGCTTGTCCATAAAGCTTTCCCCGAGAGGCATTTCAAAGTAGAAAATCTCTCTGAGGCCAGGGCAGTACTCCAGCGCCATCGTCGTCACTGCCTGACCAGGGGCTTTATCGAACACGCTTGGGTCGCATTCCGATGGGGATTGTTGATGAGTTGCTTGCAGCCTGACAAGCAAGAAGCCAAGAGGATGTTCCGAGCACACAGTTCAAGGCAAGCCCGAGAATATACCTGTTCCCCAGCATGCTCAAGAAGTGCCTCAGACCGCAGCCTTCTGATTCTGGGTATCCCGGCCAGACACCAGCGCCGCGTCGCCCCGGGCACGAGGAGCCGACGGAGCTCTGTTGCCGGAAGTGTGGGGGCCTGGCGGTCCGCCCCTCTTTGGGCGAGAACCCTAAGTTCTTTAAGGGTTTAAGGGTTTCGCTGCCTCGGCCTCCTCCAGGCGCCTCCGTTTCATGGGCGGCTCCTCCTCGCGACATCAAACGAAGGCTTTTGCAAAACGAAAGCACGGGTACCCAAATTCTGAAACAAGCCCACAAGCCCTCCTGCTCCTGGGTGTCGGAGCAGAGCCGTGCAAGCACCTTTCGCCGGGTGACTCAGCTGTGCTCTGCTCGCCGTCGTGGCTTCGACATGCCTGCATCCAGGCATTCTGGTCCGCACCTCGCGAAGGCCCCTACAGAAGTGTCTGCTGAACAAAAACTGGAACCATCGCCAAGGCCACCACCAGGCAGCTGCTGCTCGGAGGTGCAGGGAATCCTTCTTGCATTTTGCCGAACTGCTTGCAACCCTACATTTTCGACCAGTGCTACAACCTACGAGTCAGACATTCAACGGCCCAGAGCAGTGGACTTGTCCGATATTTGCATCTGATCGTAGTCTTTCACCAGATGAAGTGCTGCAGCCTCCACTCTGGCACAGGAGGACTTGTCGGCGCAAGCTCCAACCTGCACCCTAGACAAGACTGGCCCATGACACTAGCAAGAGCATCCCACACATGGGAAACACCCACACCGAGCTGCAGTCCACTTGCAAAACTCTACCCGTGGCAGGGGTATGAACATTCGGCCATCAGTGATTAATGATTAATAAATAACATTCCCACAACCAATGCCACAGAACTGTCTCTCTTCGGCAGTGCCAAACTGCGAGACAAATGCCTGCACTTCGAAGAGAGAGATGCAACATTGAACACTTCTGCTTGAAGCAATACCGTGGTGTATCCATACACTCCCTGCTGCCGACTGGCTGTCTCGCTGACCCGAGAAACATGGCTCATGTCACTGTCTTGCTCATGACTTCGCACTCCAAAGCACCAAGTACTGCGATGGTGCTCAGCCCTCACTGGGGTCAACTAGGAGAAAGGGTATGAACTCCTTACACAAGCCTCTCGCGCCGTGCTTTCAGCGCATCTGCACCTAGGCATCAAGGCCACGAAGAGCCACAGCATTGAAAGCTCTGGGAGTGCAATGGCAGCCTGCTAAGGCTGGCGCAAAGCCAGACGGCACAGATGGAAGATTCCCTGCACGCGGCAGAGTACTATCGACTGGCAAGAGTCAACATACATCTCTCTCCATGCGTACTTGCGTTGCGGTTGTGCTTCGTCATCTTGCGTCTCTATCATGTGAGTCATCTTGCCGAGTTCCCGCCGGAGCCTGTCACCGTCCAAAGCACCTCATGTGACAGCTGGGCTCGGCTCAACGTCAATGCCCACCTACCACAACGAGCCATGGTTTCCTCAAGTTCGGCATTCCGAGTGAGGCTGCGGTGCCTGAAAATAAGAACAATCGCTGGCTTTTTTTTTGTGGATTGTGGGCCGCGAAGTTGTTCAGCTCACAGACCCGGCCAATGGAAGCGTCGCCTTGTTTGACGAATGCCCATGCCGCATCAAAGACCTGCCAGAGGCAGAATTGGATGAATCTTTCAACGCCCTGGACCCCCCCAACTCAGTGCTTTGTGTCCCCAAGCCTTCCTCACCTGCTCAGCTCCAGGTCCTTGCAGGGGCTGTCACATTCACAGACATGAGCTGGTCGACAACGCAGTCCTTGGAGCATCGGGAGGACTCTCCGGAGCTGCTTCAGGGTCTCCCCTGGCTTCGGGAACAGTGGCTGAAGCGACTGCCGCTCCTATGCTTCCAGATTCCAGGCACAGCAATCTTGTTCCGAAACTCGTCCGAAGTCATCAGGCAGTCTGCATTCTCCTGAACCCCTCATCAGGTTCTGCCTCGCGACAGTTCATCAGCCTCGCGTCCGAGAAGACCTGCACGACAGCATGAATTCATTCAAAACTCTTTGGCAAAGGGAAACATGCTTTTACCCACCACACGGAACACTTCGGTCACTTGACATAGTCTGAGCATGCTGGGATAAGTTTCATCGCTTCACGGCTGAACATGGTTAGAGCCAGTCTTCTCACTTATTCTGCTAATGCTGGTCATGCTTTGCTCTAGTACAGCGGCAAGACCAACTGTGCCTAGCTGCTGATTGAACTGGCAAGAGTCCGGAACAACAGCAGCAGCAGCAGCCGCACCATCAAGAAGCTGAATGCAGTGGTGGTGGCCTACCAGCAGCTCGCTGTGATTGGAAGCTTCGCCTGATTTTGCAACAATCTCTCCCATGTTGCACCCCGTTAGTTACAAAGCAAGCACGACGGTTACGAACCAAACCTACGAAACAGTACCAGAATCTAGAACTCCATCCATGCCAGATCCATCTCCAGGAGTTTCAACAAGGCAGAAAGCCCAGAGCCTGGTGCTCGCATCGCAAGGCGTGTGGAAACGCGCAGCCTCACTGTGGTCAAGACCCATAGAAGAGCTTCTAAAGATGGAAGAGCTTCTCAACTATCAGCCCACTGCGAGTGAGGATGAAGCATCACTGGGGGCTTTTTGGGCTTGTTCGGTGCTCATAACGGACTTCGACCCACATACACAGGCATCATTCAAGCGGCCGTGGCCTTTGCACCATGTCCTTGGAACCTGAGGCAGTGATGTGAGAGGCACCTGGGCAAGTGGAGCCAAGCTTGGCTGAAGGTACGTTTCAGATCGCCCAAGATGTGGAAAGATTGCCAGAACACGCGTCTGAGAATGGCGCATCGCTTGTAAGCCTGCTGAGGAGTCAATAAGCTTGGTGGACATGGCTCAGCACAACGACCCTCGGTTCAGAAGGCGACATCTGCCTTTGTTGCAGCATCCAGTTGCTTCACGTGCCTGCGATGTCTCCGCACGGGGCAACACAGACCCACAGTAAATCGGACAAGGCGAGCCTCAAGTTGTCGAGGACTTCCGGCTCCGTGTGCAGTCCCTGCGGCTCAACAATTAGAGCCAGTGCCGAAGTCAAAGGATCGCTGGTCTCCTTCTCCCCATCCATCGTCCCAGGTCCAGCTGAGAACTCTACAAGCGAGGACAGCCTGGCAGCTCGGGCAGCTCTCATCCCTGGCGTTTTGGCGCAGCCTGAGACGGAGGCGTGTCTGCAGGAAGCCTGCCCAGGCAGTTGGGCTCCGCAAACACAGACTTCCGATCACTTCCGGCACCCCTCTGAATCTTGGCCCTCCCCGCCTCGGACAGCAGAAGAGCTCCCGAAGCAGCCGCCGAGCCGCCTCGCGCTCCTCCTCCTCCTCGGCATCGGCTTTGACAAAACCCATCTGCTTTGCAACTCGGTTGCACTGCTGTGGACCTCCTCCTCAAAAGCGTCGTCATCGGGATCTGACATCATCAGGGGTCTCTACGTTCACGCAGGTTCGAAGCCACATAATGCAGATGGGGGCCAGCAAAGCTCTTGTAAACGTATCTTGCAGGGCTCGTGGAACAACCGAGAACCGATTCAACCTTGAGCACCACACACAGCGCACCTGCGCCGAGGCCGGCTGCTGTCGCTGCACGCTGTGCGAGGCAGCGGGTCAAGGCATTGCACTTTGGCCTGCGGGCGTCGAATGCCCATATTCGAAACTCAACTCCACAGTTCAGTACTTCTGCTCTGGTTCAGGAATTTGCAGAACAACTGAGTCTAGTCAGGAATCCTGAAGGTTGCACCATGCTTGTGGGCGATAGTTTTTTGTTTTTAGCTGGGCCCTGCCTAATTAGACCGTGCTGAAGCCTTTTCCACAGGGGTTTGGTGGGATTCCCAAAACCACAGCAAAGATTGAAGCTGCCTCAGCCCCGCATGCAGGAGCTGTGCCGACGCACGCAGCAGCGCCGCAGACGTCAAAGGCTCCGGCCCTTGGAGATCCGTGTAGCCCAATGCTCATAGCCAGATCGCACGAGTGTCAGCCTCCGGAAACAGTCTCCGGGGTTCCAGCGATGGTCTGAAAGCAGGGCACGGTGGCACGTGTCCGCGAAACGAGGACCTTCCAAGCTGCAGAGGGCACTCGTAGTAATTCTTGGCTTGCGACCCCCTACGCTTGGAACGGTGTTCTGAATGTCGCATACGGTCGCATACTCAGATCCACTTCAGCTAAACCACAGGGCACCACGCCCATTCCTTCCGCCAGTGCTTTTGCCGACCAGACTGCCTGCCACAACATGCAAGACAGAGAGGACTGCATCATTTCCTGCCCACTGCCTGCTGCTTGCTGGACATCATCCTTGCTGCCATTGGAAGCCTCGCCGTTCCCCTTTTTTTGGTGCCGCAGTCACAAAGGACTCTTGACAACACGAAGCCTTAAAGCGCACGGATGATTGCAGGGTAGTTGAACCATTTGGGGCCTTCAAGCGCATTTCCCTCAGCTTAGAGTAGGCTTAGAGGCTTTCCATCCCTGGTCCAGGCGAGCAAACAGCGAGCAACGCCCGTGGACCGGCACCTCGCTGTCGCCAGGATGCTCTGGAGGCCTGCAGAACATCCTCGACTGCTGCTCTCGCATCTCCATCTGCACTGGGTCCGACACTTTCCTCCAGTGCAAGCAGCGTCTGCTCGGCCTGCGCAGATCGGAGTTGCATTCTAACTCCGGTGTCGGTACCGGGGCACCGATCTGCGTGGCTCACTTGGCAGCCATTGCCAGCCCAACAGTGGCAACGCCCGGAAGTTGCCTCTTCCTTCGCCATCGCCCGTGCGATGCACAACCTGAGCGACAAGGTGCGCACGGGTCTGACGGTCTGCCCTTCATCATAACATCGTACTCAAGATGCAGCAGAATGCATCAACACATGTGTGTTTTGTTTGCTTGAAAATGCCTGAAAACCTGAAGCTTTGACCATTCAGCATCACGTATGCAGTTACTGATACACCGGCTGCACTGCCCTCACGATGCTCCAATGCCGTTGAAGTCGCAACGCTTGCCCACGGAAGCACACCTGGTCCGGGCCTTCTTTGGCAGCCTGGGCTTTCCGGACCGTGAGCAGCAAGCTCTGCCACAGTTTCTCGCTCGAAACCCAAGAACCTATGAAACACTTTGAGGACGGGAGCGTTTGCTATACGACGCTGACTTCCGTAAAAATCGTTAAAGGAGTCTTTCCGTCAGGTAGTGCTCATGTTCGATTCTTGACAATCTGTCGTACGCTTGTTTTTGTCACAACCCGATGTTGACATCTTGCTCAAATGCATTGCCGTTCCAATCTGGTCGCAACACCTGTCTCGTTTTGTGATCGTCGCTAAGCTTGCAGGATCCACATCCGGCCAATTTCAATCGACAAGCTTTGATATACAAACTTGGAGCTACTTGACGATGGATGTCCGACACATGGCTTCATCAACAACACAGAACTCGCACTTTCAGGCCCGCACAAGTTCGGCAGCCTTCCTTATGCAAACCGCACGTTCGTCATGATCAACGCCTGCCTGCAGATCAGCCATCAAGACTGGCAAGTGCATCCCCATCAAATTATATCACGCGTGAACTATGAGACCGTGTCATGGGCATTGACCATGTGCCGAACATGTAACATGACCGAATGGTCTGTCCTCGTCATTGGCCACGCAAATCTTGTTCAACAACAGCATCCAATACCCGTGGCGCTTTTCCTCGGGTGCATAAACCCGCATACGTACAAACACAGTTGAAGCTACATCAGCACGTGGCAACCACAATTGCAAAAATGCGTCAGCTGTCATTGTTGATCAAGACGGCAGAAACTCGGTCAAAGCAAATTGTGCTGCAATGCAACTTTTCAATCTGCTGATGATGCCGTGCCTGACTCCTATGCATGTCTTGGACCCTTGTGCAGCCAGTGGCGCGCATAAACGGACGAAGCAGTCATGAATTCATCATTACAGTTCGCTTTTGCGAAACAGCTTGGTCGACGACAAAGTGGTGAAGAATCAGCACACCAACCTTCACCCCAAAGCCAAAACAACAGAACTGCATCTGCCACAATAAGCAAAGCGAAAGAGACAACAACAACATTCATTTTCATTCAGACGCTCGATGTCCAGAACAGAGGTCAAAACTGGCATTATGCGCAGAATCCCACTGTACATAGCTGACATTGCACTGCCGGCAAATGTGTCGTCAATGCTGTATGCCTGCTCAACAAAGGATGGTTGAGCAGGGGATTCGGTTCCAAACCTCTAGCCAGATGACCAGTGCAGTCTGTGCACTCTCTTGTAGCCAAGAGATTTCTAGAAGGGCGAATAGCCCTATCCTGGAAGAAGCCGGTCATGGCAGCAAAGATACTGCATGGCAAAGCTTATAGACCGGTACTTCAATTGAATAATACGGCTTAAGGCCTCTCCATGTTTGTCCACGCTTCGGAATTTTGTTCAGGAATTTGGCTGGTGTCTTACAGGTCTTATCCGGCAACAGCATCGTTGTACTGTGGAGCAATCAAATGGTGTGAGGTGTCGGGAGGCTGCCTCACAATGTATAGAAATATTCGAGTCAAGCTCAAGCTCAACTTCTGCGCGTCCCCGCCAGTTGTGGAGTGGGGGAGCCACACCGAATTTGCCAGATAACTGCTCAGGATACAGAGATGTATAGGTCGTAGGGAGAACCACCGCATGTTTAGCACTTTTGCTATACGGTTGTTCTTGATGTGTCGGCCCGTGTCTCTTGTTGTGGCTCTCATATGGCAAAACTGCACGTCGACGCCCCGTCAGATGAAAAGTGCCGAGCGGTGGTAGCTGAGCTGGCTATGGCGTGAAGACTCTTCGAGGCTCGGAGTTAACGTGTTTCTCGTTGCGTCAGAATCCCAGTGTGTGGGCTGATGCTGAAAACAGCTTTCTTAAACTCCTCTCCACAGCAAGCTGAAGGCCAGAACGCGCTTGGGGATTGGACAAGGTACCATCGAGGGTGAATGAAGGCGCAGTCATGTTGATCCACATTGGAAAGTCTCAGCGTACACTCATAGGAGGCATCAGGCTGCACGTTTGCACGATTTTGCGAAACAAGCCGGCCACAGTGTTAGCGCAAGTTTTCCAGACCAAACTGGCTTCGATTCGCTTTTTCCTTGGAAAAAGACACTATTGCGAAATTCTTTCCTTTGGCACAACCTGCAGCAGGAACTGCAGGAGAGGCAGGTCGGCACCTGCAACCGTCCGAATAAAGGGTGGTGTCCAACCACCAAAGACACCAACAGTCGTTCTAGTCCCGTCCGGCAACGAACAGCCCCCTCCAGTTCGTTTACATGGTGTGGCTGTGCACACTAAAGTCCAAAGTCCAGAACGCATTCTGGCGGGCCGGCCAGACCAAGGCTCAAGAATGCATGGCCGCCTTTTAGAGCGATCCATCAGTAGTAGTCACTTAGTGTCAGTTTGACACCTTCCCGACAGTACGACGGGCCAGAAAGGCAATCACACATCAGTGAATCACGATGCAATCGGAGTGCGTCTTGTTCTGCTTTAACCGCCCGAGCGGCAGACACGCACAAAGCCGAGTGGGCGAAGGGGCGGCAAGCCGGCAATTCCGCGTAGCCCCCAGGCAAGCCTGTGACTGAGAAGAAAGTCACAACATGGGCAAGATGCGCTTTAAAAGCAGTTCCGATTCTTCGTCAGGAAACAGTCGTGACAAAACAAGCCCCGTTGCAAGAGCTCAGCTGCCACCAAAGTAGTGGCAACTACAATTTGAGGCTGGCTAAAGTATCCTTGTGAGCTTTCAACTGCTCTTGCTAAACACTCCAACCACAGCAAAGCCTTTTTTCGACAGTGGCAGCTGTGGAAGCACCTGTGCAACAAGGATAAATCGACTGCCTAATGATTTCGCAGGAGACTAGACAACCCAATAGCTATTAGTTTCTTCTGTTTTTCTCTCCAACTGCTTGAGGATTCCCCTGCTTCTCATCGTGCCCATACGCAGCCGTCCATCTGTTGGAGAACGTCGTGATGGAACTTCCTGCACAAATAAGGCCAACTCCCCAGCCAGAAAGTGGCGGGCTAAGGATAATAGACTCAGACGCTTTCTGCCACTCTGCAAAAGATGGTTTGCATATTGAGCAACAGAGCAACAAGAGTAAAAGCTGCAGGTTGGCAGAAGAGTATTAACAACATTTCCGACGTAACACGCACTTTCGCACCCAGAGATCTTGAAAAATGACAGGCTGCAATTTTCAGACTTCGTTTCTAGTGAAATGAGCGTGCGCAAGACACATCGTGGTGTGGAATGCAGCTGACCGGTTTGGATCCGAGAAATTGTCGAGATTTTTGCTAAGTGCTGGAGCGACCTCCAAAGTGTCGGAAACGAAGAGTTTGTTCATTGTCAACACAATGTTGTTGCTGTCGTTGTCTCTACGTGTGCAGCACTTCTTGAGGCTGCCGCAGTTGTGTTCACAAGAAAGAAATTCCAAAGACAAAAAGGTGGAGCTGAAAACGAACTGGAATTGGAACCCATTTTTGGAGCCTGCTAGTGATATCATCTGTTGGCACAGGTCCCATTTTTGGGCACACGTTTTGAGCTAGTTTTTAGCCAAACATCTTCGCACTGGCAGCTTCCTTGTGAAATTCAAAACGTGAAGCTGCGCTGCTCATCATAGAAAACCAAACCGCGCTTAAGTTGTCCAAAGATCCATGCAGCAACAAATACCGCTTGCAATCATCATGCAGGTGCTTCAATATGCAACTGATGACGTCTGCCTCTGAAGGGCCAAATCATGATGCTTACAACGAGCTTGCGGTACCTCGCAAATTCAGATCCCATGTGGCGAAAGATGTACTTTGCAAACAACAAAGGAAGGTTTCCTAAACCTTGATATCATCAAGACTCCCAACCAAATCTTGAAACCGTTCCCGAAGCAAAACAACTCACGGACAGAAGTACTTTTAACAAGCGACTATCGCCTTTGATCTTACACAACGACGTGAATTCTTCTTTAAAGGCTGTTCAGCATCTGTTTGGTTGCAAGTGTAAAGCTGTGGTCCCGAGTTGCAGGATGCAAAATGTGTGGCGTCCAAGACAACAGGGCACAGTGGCTTCCAAAAAATCTTTTATCGTGCTGCACAATTTTTGTTTAGAAAAAATGTGAACTCTTACGCACTTCGTAAAAACGGAATTGTCCTCCAAGACACAAGCTCCGCTACCACGTGAAAAACTTTTAGTCTCCACTGGCCTTTTCCCTTGGAAACAAATCCCTTCTAAACACGAAGATTGAACACCCCCATGGGAGTACTAACTCAAGAAGTGATTCGGTTTCTGCAGTTAAGTACCGGAAAGGTTAAACCTCTCCAAGGTCGGAAAGAGAAGCACTCGCACCATCTGAGTATGGTCCAGTTCCGGAAGAAACCCTAGAAGCCTTTAAAAAACCAAACACGCCACCTTCGTTCCTTTTGGACAGCCGAGTTTTCTCTCAGTCCACCAGTCCCATTGGCGCTGCCAGCAGTGTACTACCCCAGCCGCCTGCGAGTTGCTCAGGTTCGTGGGATGAGCAAGCAGCAAGTGGTCCTGCAACAACAGACGATGAATTATGGACTTTTACGTTGCGGAAAGATGTTTTCAGAAGCGTTGCACTTTCTCACTTGAATGGAAAGGAGTTTTGCTTGAAGTTCGGTCTGAGTGTCTCTATTTCAGAGCACAGATAAGAGAGTGAAAGCGCCATCTGTCCTTGAGCTTTTTGAGAAAGATTGATTCTGAGCGAAACGGTTGACGTTAGTTTCCGAGGGGCCTCTAGGGAGCCTCAGGGCCACACTAAACAGCAAACAGCCAAGCAGGAACGCTCCACACTTTTCTCACTGCTGTTCTTCAGCAGTCCGAGTCTTGAGCCAAGCCGAGCACGGCTTGAGGCTTCAGTTCACAGCTTCCTGGACTTGAAACACTCCACTGCTGGTGAGCACTCACAGCAAACTTGGGCTTCAGCTCTCTAAACA